GTTGCTAAGAGAGTAAATCTTAGAAGTTCTCATCACCACAAAAAAATATTTTGTAACTGTACATGGTGTTATATATAGGTGTTAACTAGACTTATTGCGGTGATCATTTCACAATATATACAAATACAAATACCAAATCATTATGTTGTGTACCTGAAACTAATATAATGTTATATGTCAACTATATCTCAAGAAAAAATACTTACAGGAATACTAGTGTACTAAGAAATGTAGTTTGGGGAATGGTGAACTAGAAGCCTAATGCTATTCAAAGTTCTAAAAGTGCTCTGCATGTTTGTCTACCTTACCAAATTTCCTAGACACAGCTCCAAATCAGGTTACCTCTTCATTGCTACATAAAATGCAGGATAAATCTCAACTTAAGGCTGGGAACCTCTTACCTTGCTTTGTGAAGCTGGAATGACCCCTCTGTCTTCTGTACTGCAAACTTTCTTAGACTTCAAGGTTCACCTCAGCTCTGTGTCTGGACCATGAAGATCCCACAGTGTGATCCAGCACACACCTTACTTCTCTTAGTCAACACACATTAAATTGTGAGCCCTCTACACACATTTTAGGCTTGGACTCCCCCCAAAAGTCTCTTGAAAAAGGGCTTTTTTAGGGCAAAAGACAACTAGAAGGTGAGATCCTTGAGCTATTTTGACACGCAGTGTTTGAACAGAGATAAAATCGGACTGAAAAGTCACAAACAAGAAAGATGTGTGTTGACTCCAGGGGGAGAACAAGCTTTGTAGTTCTTAGCCAAGAGAATTCATGAGGATCAAAGAAAGAATAAGATGCAGTTCCAAATATAGTCTGTAAACAAGAAGAGGTCGTGTGTTGGGATTCTCATAAATAGTTGATACAAGATGGGCTTTTCTGTTTATACTAAGCTGAACATGCACTGACAGCATGGAACTGGCTACGTACGCAGTTTACCTACTCTATATTATGATGGCATCTTCTTTGGTACTTTGGGGTCTGACAATTATCATAAATCCCTGGGTGTTGTTTATATTTCATGTATTGGCCCACCATACCCCCAAATAAAGTTCCGTTTTTAATGTTCTGGATGTCAAAAGGTACATTGCTAATTTGGTAAAAATAAAAATATACCTTAGGAAGGACCGTTTATGAGAAATCAAGATGAGTTTGTACCTGAAAGAAGTTGGAAAATGTATATATTAAAATATCTGATCTACTTGGACAGACTTGGGGTTTAGAAATATTTCTCACATTTGGAGTGGAGGATAGATGAGGCCTCGAGATTGAAGGTAAAGACCAGCTAAGAGCCAGTTGAGGTTTTCTCCAAGTGGGAAAGGCAATGAGATTTCGACTAAGGTAGAGGAGTGGGAAGGAGAGAACAGAAAAGAGAGATACTAAGTCCTATTGAATTTAGGAAGGTATGGAGAAGGAGAGAGAAAAGAAAGAATAAAAGTATTGGAAGAAGAAAGAAAGAAGAAGGAAAAAGAGAGGAAAGGAGAGGATGAGGATGACTCTCAGCTGTCTGACTACTACTCTGGGTGGATCCTAGAATTCTTAGAGGACTCCTCTATTTTCTCATTGTCTATCTGTGGAGCTATGTGAGTGGGCAGCAGGGAAGGAGAGCCCTTCTTCCCTGTATTATCCTGTAAAACTGCCTCAATCTACACCTTCATCAGAGCCAGTATTCAAAACTTGTTTTCCATTGTTCCAAGCCTGGTTTGGTAATCAGGAGTACATAAAGCAAAGAGGACCTTTCAAAAGGGACAGCCAGGACAGACTTGGCATGAATTATAAATTCAGTTGACTTTGGCATCTAATCCAGGCCCAGACAGGCAGCCCTCCCCACCTGCCTCATTTCTCACCTTACCTCACCACAAGCTAAAGAACTAAGTCACTGTAAAAGAGGTTATGTTGAAAAACTGGCGGGGGAGGGGGGGGTGGCGAGGAGGGAGGACAGTAGAAGAAAGACCTTGGAATCAGACTGACTCCATAGACTTTGGAGTCAGGCTGATCTGGATCTGAACCTCAACTCTTGGACACAAAAGCCCAGGCTTCAAAAGAAATGACTAGGCTGAAAATAGAGAATTGGAGTTTCAGAGGTCCTAGGGAGCAATGGAATTTAAGGAGATTGCTCAAGAGGAGTAAAGGAAAAATGGGAACTCTTTCTACATCTATTTTCTTTGGACCCATCATATTCAAGCCAAAAATGTGAGAGCCTTGTGAGCTTGTAGACACCTCCACCGAGAAGGAAATTCCATCAATATGCATCCCCTTCTAGTCTGTCTCGCTGACACTCTCCATTGTTGAGGGATGGGGAAAAAAAGAAAGAAGAAAAATGAAAATAGCCTCAGAGAGATATGGGACACCATCAAGTGTGCCAATATATTAATAATGGGAGTTCCAGGAGAGGAAAGAAAGGGATAGAAAGAATGCTTGAAAGAATGGCCAAAAACATCCCCTATTTGATGAAAAAACATTAATCTATACTTCCAAGAAGTCCAACAAATTCCAATAAAGCCAGAGATTCATACCTAGATACATCACAATCAAACTGTTAAAAGACAAATATAGAGGGAATCTTGGAAACAGAAGGAAAAACAATGTATCATTTATAAGGGATATTCAATAAGATTAATAGCTTGTTTCTCATCAGAAACCAAAGAAGACAGGAGGCAGTGGATGATATATTCAAAGTGCTGAAAGAAAAAGACTCATCCAAGAATCCTATATATATAGCAAAACTGCTTTTAAAATAAAGGTGAAATTAAAATGTTCTAATACAAACAAGACTGAGAGGATTTATTATTATCAGACCTGCTATACAAAAAAAAATAAATAATAAGAGAGCCCTTCAAGCTGAAGTGAACGAATACTAGACACTAACTTGAATACACATAAAGAAATATAGATTACTGGTAACAATATAGTTAAAGATAATGATATAGTTAAATATCAAAGGCAGTATCAATGTGTTTTTTTGTTTGTAACTCTTCTTTTCTTCTATCTAAGAGACACCCACATAAAGCAATAATTCTGAATCTTTATTGATGGCCATGCAATGTATAAAGATGTAATTTACAAGGTGTGATCAAACAATATTGTGAATGTTTAAATTTTAAAAATTTTACAGTAAAAGACACATTGCCATTAATCCCCCTCAAAACACTCCCCCTGGCTTCAAACACACTTATCCCATTGTTCTTGCCACTTTCTGAAGCAGTTCTGGAAGTCCTCTTTCAAGAGTGTCTTTATATGTGCTGTCATGGCTGCCTTGATGTCCTGAATTGATTCCAAACGTTCATGGTCATTTTGACTTTGGGGAAGAGCCAGAAATCACACAGTGCCAGATCCAGTGAATAAGGTGGATGAAGACACACCATAATGTTTTTATTTGACAGAAATTGCTGTGCCAGAGTGATGCATAACATGGAGCATTGTCATGATGCAGGATGAAACTGTTTGCCCATTTCATGTTCATGTGTTGTTCACGATCCATGATTTATGGCACACTTTAAAACACACCTTCTCTCAACCATAGCTCACACCTGATTGACTGCACCTAACAAGTTGAAACATGTGTGTGCACTGTTACTAAGGTTCAACACGCCACTTCCTGTATTAAAAATACCTACCTTTCCGTTGGATGGCACTCAGCAGCAGCATTCACTGTATTTTGTGATCACAACAGAAAGGCTCCATGTCACACATTACTTCTGGTACGGCAATTTCTGTCAAATAAAAACATTACAGTGTGTCCTTATCCCTCTTACTCACCAGATCTGGCACTGTGCAACTTCTTACTCTTCCCCAAAGTCAAAATGACCATGAAAAGTAAACGTTTTAAATCTATTCAAGACATTGACGTAGCCACAACAGCGCAACTAAAGACATTCATTAAAGAGGACTTCCAGAACTGCTTTAGAAAGTGGCAAGAACAATGAGATAAGTGTGTTTGAAGTGAGGAGGAGTATCTTGAGGGGGATTAATGGCAATGTGTCTTTTATTGTAAAATTTAAAAATTTTAAATATTCACAATATTATTTGATCACACCTCATGTATGAAAATAACAGCACAAATAAAAGGGTAGGTAATAGAACCACGTAAGAGTAGAGTTTTTGTATACTATTGCAATTAAGGTAGTATTAATGCAAACTAGATTGTTTTAAGTTAAGATATTAATTATAATATCTAGGGCAACCACTGGAAAAAAATTCAAAAAAGACAGAGTAAAAGAAACAATAAAGGAATTAAAATAGTACACTAGATAATATCTATTTAACACAAAAGAAGACAGTAGTGGAGGAATAAAGGAACAAAAAAGACATAAGACATGTAGAAAACAAGTAAAATAATGCAATGCAAATCTTACTTTATTGGTAATTACATTAAATATAAATGAATTAAACACTCCAATTTAAAGGCAAAGATTAGAATTATGGATTAAAAGGCGTGATCCAAATATATGCTGTCTACAAGAGACTCGCTTTAGAATCAAAGACATAAATAGATTTAAAGTAAAGGATGGGAAAGATATATATCATGCAAACAATACACCAAAAAACTATGGAGTGGCTATACTAATATCAGACAAAATTCAGTTTAAGGCAAAAATTGTTACCAGAGATAAGGGACATTTTATAATGATAAAAGAGTCACTCCATCAAGAATAGAAAACAATTATAAACATATATGCACTTAACAACAGATCCCCAAAATACAGAAAGCAAAAACTGACAGATTTGAAAGAAGCAATAGACAATCAGCAATAATAAGTGAGAAAGAAACACTTCTTTATTCTTTAAGGCTAGCATTACCCTGATACCAAAGCCAGACAAGAAATCATAAGAAAGAAAACTATATCCCTTATAAATATAGATGCAAGATAGTGGCAAACCAAATCCAGCAGCATATAAAAAAGATTCTACATCATGACAAGGAGAATTTATCCCAGGAATTCAAGGTTGGTTCAACATATGAAAATATATCAATGTAATGTATCACATTAATAAAATAAAGGACAAAGCCACATATTCATCTCAAAAGATGCAGAGAAAGCATTGACAAAATCCAACACCCTTTCAGCAATTTTACTCCTACGTATATACCCAAGATAACAAACAATATGTCCACCCAGAAACTTGTACACTGATGTTTATAGTAACTTTATTCATAATAGCCAAAAAGTAGAAACAATCATAGCTTCCATTAACTGATGAATGGATAAACAAAATGTAATATAGCCATACAATGGGGTATTACTGGGTCAAAAAAGGAATAAAAAACTGATTTATGCTACATTATAGATTTGATACATTATGCTAAGTAAAAGAAGCCAGACACAAAAGGCCACATACTATATGATCCTATTTCTACAAAATGGCCAGAAAAGGCAAATTGGTAGATACATAAAGCACATCAGTGGTTGCCAGGGTCTGAGAGAGGGAGGAATGAGGAGTGACTGCTAATGAATATGAAGATTCTTTTTGGGGTGATGAGAATACTCTGGAGTTAGGGACTTATATAGTGGTTATGGTTGCACTTCTTTGTGAATATACTAAAACCACTGAATTGTACACTTCAAAAGGTGAATTTCATGGTATATGAATTCTATCTCAACAAAAAATAATAAAAACATGTTCATTTCCTTAGAGAAAATCCCGGTAAAATGACTAAGGCCAAGGTACTTAGTTCCTTTTGGGCATTATTTCCTCATTTGACAATTAAACATGATACTATCATCACTGTGAGCTTATGGCCAAGTCAGTATATTTGTAGTTCCTTCATCCTGTTGGTACTCTTAGTGGAATCCGAATCCTTCTTCTTACTTATACCATTGTGCTCTGTCCAATTTAGCTTTATCCAAGCTACCAGATGGATGGTTTTTTCATATGCCCTCTCGCTTCCTGAAAGCCCTGGGAAGGGAGAAAAAGCAACATTCATTGAGGACCTATTATGTGCCATATTCTGGTCTAAAATACCATATTTAATTTAGACTTCCAGACAATGCCATGCACTAGGTGGGCTTATTTCCACTTTAATTGAAAGGACACTGAAGCCCAGCTTTAAAAATCCTCTCCAAATCATGCCATTAGGAAGAGTAGGTACATTGGATTTAGATGGGCCTGACTTCAAACCTGCCTCTTAGACAATTGTATGAGATCTGTCATAAGTTTCCTAAACCTTCTGAACTTCAGTTTCTTCATCTATAAAACAGGGACAATGGGAGAACCTTTGTTATGGAGTGGTTCTGGAAATTAAATTAGATACAGAGATTCATTTAGCACATATCCTGGAATGCATGTTAGCTTTTGTTACTCCTACATGGAGCTACTCCATGGCTAAATTTGGATTAGAAGCTAGATCAGTAACATTCCAAAGCTTCCCCACTTTGACTCTTCTCTATACCTGTCCAAGCTACTTACCCTATCAATTGACAAGTAGAGTATGTGGTAAAATGTAAGTCAGCAGGGAGAAGAACTAAGAACAAATTATCAGAAGGCATACACATCTGGTTTCTCCTGAACTTGTCAGTCATAGCATTTCCTTCATTTATTCTCTCCATGCTCACACACATGCATGCTACCACACACATACACACATGCAAAGCTTTCTAGCTATTTCTGAGTAGCCAACCCTAACAGCATTATGGAAAAATGGATGCAGCTAGATCCAGAGTTTCCCTGAAACATCCCCCAAAAGTCTCGCTTCCTTGGCCTTTCATAAAAACTCTGAGACACAATCAAAACGCTTGCACAAACCTCTCCACTCCCTCTGTATCTTCTCATAAACTGGCTCCTGGCCTCTCCCAGCTACATCTGGTCTCAGTGGAATGTGCTTATCAATCTTACTCCAGGGGAATGAGGCCAAACAGCCTGGTGCCCTGGTGGCTGAGGAGACTTGTACAAGCTTGTGACATGTCATCAACAAGTCTTTTGACACAGGATTTCAATTTTTTTTAATCTTCTGGCAACTTTCATCAGATTCAGAATTCCTCCGCACATGCAACCACCCGCGCCCTCCCCCCCGTCCCCCCCAGACTCTTTTTCTTTTTCTGTCTCAATCCTACTTTCTTTTCTGACCAGTCTTTTAGTGTAAATTGAGCGTTAACTTTCACTATGATCATTATTAACTACTGATATTATAGCTTAATCACTGGTCCAACTGAGTTCCCTGTTACAGCTCAGCAATACGGCTTGCCATTTCCTGAGAAACAGCATGGTGTAAGGCAGAGGGCTTCGGTGTCCGACAGACCTAACTTTGAATCCAACTTTTTTTTTAAGAAGTTGAATAAGATCCTTCACATGAAACTGTCTTCTTGTTTGTAAAAGGCTGCTATTAGTACCCACCTGACCAGGATTTTGGTGGGAGATAAATGAAGTGATTGCTATCCTGGGTACCATGGTAATTATTAACACTGTCATTGTCATCATTGTTGTGGCTCTTAGGATGCCAAGAACCACCTGACTGGTAGGAGCCCATCTGAAAGCACGTTCCCTGTGCAAATTGTTACCTAGTTGTTAAAAAATTAACTGTTGGATATCTAGATCTCAAGAGTATACACACCCTAGATGCCCAGACACTCAACTTCTAGGATTTGAATCTAAAGAAATAATCATGGATATGGGGGAAAGATTTAGGTACAAGAATGATCACCACACTATTGTTTATAATACTGAACAACTGGAAACAACCTAAACATGAACAATGTGTTTTTATATAGACGACGGCACTCCAATTCAATGAACAAGTAGCAGCTCTTTGAATGCAATAAAAGAATGGTTATGGCATAGAAAGAGGTTTACAGTGTATATAGTTGAATATATATTTGAAGTTGTAAGAAGCAGGTACAAAATAACATCCAGAACATGGTCCTGATTTTATCTGAAGGAGGGACTAGAGATGACATCTGAGTGTACAGAGAAAAGGCCAAAAAGATAACCACTAAAATGTTCAAAGTGAGTAGTCTAGATTGCATTTTTTTCCTTTTCTACTCTGTATTTCCTAATTTTTGACAACAAAAATATTCAGGAAAAAAGCAAACTTTCTGGTATATTCTATTGAATCAAAACATACAGAAAAGTTGCACAAATCCTAGTATATCTTAATGAATTTTGTTAAAATGAACACACCAGTGTAATTAGCACTCCGATCATGAAATGTAACTTACCAGCACCCCAGAAGCCACCCTCTTGCCCAGTTCCAGTCACTATCCACCCCTCCAAAGATAACCACTATTCCGATTTCTAACATTCTAAATTATTTTTGTTTGATTTTAAGCACTTAACAAATAGAACAGTGTTATTACTTGCTATTGGCATTATGAATAGTGCTACTAGATACATTCTTGTTCTGTCTTTTGGTGAACTTACGTACACATGCAATTTTTGTTCATAGGAAATGTGCATATACTGTTTAGTAGATACTGTCAGTTTACCAAAATAATTGTTCTGCTATACACTTCCACTAGCAGGGTGTGAGAGTACTCGACTCCAGTTACTTGCAACACTTGGTATTATCTGGTGTTTCCATTTTAGTCATTTCTCGCGGCATCACATTGAAGCTTTGTTACATTTCCCAAATAACTAGCAGAGTTTTAAATGTTTATTGGCCATTTGGATATTGTCTTTTGTGAAAGGCCTATTCAAATACTTTGCCCATTTTTCTGTTGGGTTATCTGTGTGTGTTTTTTTCATATTGGCTTATAAGAATTTATACATCCTGTACGTAAGACTTATCAAATGCATATATTGCAAATATATTTTCCCATTGTGTGAACTTGATTTATATCAATCTCTTAATGGGGTCTTTTGATGAAAGGGGGTCTGAATGTCAATGCCCCATAGCTCAGTAGGATCCTGCTGCCTGTGTCCCCTGGCCAATGTGAGCCCCTGATTTACCACACCATCCAGAGGCAGAAAGGAAAACCCATCCTCAGAATAAGTATTTATACTTGTGAGGACAAAGAGCTGGATCCAGCAGAACCAAAAGGGGCCAATCGTACTATTATTACCTCGCACAGAACTACTTTTATTTTATTATGCTGGCTCCTTGAGAAAAAGATGCCAAGATGTGTATAAATGTGCAAAGATTTTCATTTAAGAAAATAGAAAAGGAGCTGCAGAAACCCGGGAGGGCCATCAGACCACAGATGCAAGAGACCCTAAGTGTTGAAGTGAGGGAGGAAATTTGGATCAAAGCACCTTAGACTACCATACAGTCTATGGAAGATTCCACAATGCCCTCGGGGAGTTCTTGAGTCAAAGTCAATTATCAGAGTTGTCCCACATTATCTAGGAATGGATCTGCTTTGGAATCCTTGCCATGCTCGGTCATTGCCCGAAGTAGCCTGCGGAAAGTAGGGTCTCAGTGCAAACACAGTGATGAATTTCAGAGCACAGAAGCTGGGCCTTTGGTCAGCTACACCCTCTGTAGTTGGCATTCTGCTCAGTTCTCTCATAGCGACCGCATCAAGATAGGGAATATAGGGAAAGAAGAAAGTTGTGGTAAGTGAGGGAGCTGGCTAATGGGTTCACTTTCGGAAAATATTGGGTTTGATAACATCTTTTCCTCTTAGATATTTGGCAACCAGCAAAATATACAGGTCTAGAATTCAAGAGTGGGCCTAGGTTGCTCGAATAGGACATTAGGGAGTGGTGCCTTAGAGGGCTTTGTGAGAAAAGAAGTTTCAGGTATCTCGTTAAAGGAGATAAGAGTACTAAGAGACCCTGGGGTTCCAGTGACCTCCTGCTCTTTCTGCACAAATAGCTTAGTTAAGGAGGTGAAGAGCAGAGAGGGAAGAAAGAGAGAAAGAGGCCTCGTGTGGTACACCTTGGGCCATCCCCTGATTTAGGGCCCCTCATTATCTGAACACTTCCCCAATATGGCAGTCCAAGGTGGCTGACACATTTCAGCTATATTGTCTCAGCAGAACAAATTCGTTTTTCCCACCTTAAAACTGAATGTGGACAGAAGTAATTTATATTACTTTTAGTAATAAATTCAGTAGGTCAATAAGAATTTCAGAAGGAGGTCAAGGTGTATTCATTATGCACATGAGTGAGCTTGCACGCATGTTTGTACACACACACACACACACACACACACACACAAATGGTGCACAGGATGTGAGCAGTCAGAGGTGGTCAATCATAGACTCTGCACTCAGCAATCTGGGAGAGCACATGGGTCCACGAGTCAGGATTAAACACCATAGTGACCAACTTACTAAAGCTTGCAGTTGGGCAGCGATTTCTGCTTAATAGAACCCTTAGGTCTCAATAATTGCTTTGAAATCCACACATCAGCATGCAGTTCTCATAACTGGGGAAGCCAGAAATCCAAGTGTGAGGGCAAAACGACAGCCTCTCCTGTGCCCATTCAAGATGAAAAAAAAAAAAAGGCACATGGTTCTGCCTCCTTGGCATCTGTAGATATGCATCTGAGGCTACCATTTACAGTACTGCCCAGTCACCCACGTTAACCTCCAGGAGTTTCACAGCAGATTGGTTTGGTTTGTGAACAGGGCAAGGTACAGCTCCTGAATTTAAACTTAGCATTTGCTCACAGAGTTGCTATCGATCCATATGACTAACTGGCAAAAGGTGTCTCTTCCTCAAGACACTTTTCTTCTATACATCTGAAAATTATCATAAGCTACTAATTTTGTGAAACCATGTATAGCCATCTTTCAGAAAAATTGCTGTAATAAATACACACATTAACAATGTCTAGTTGGGCCGGCCGAGTGGCACGTTGGTTAAGAGCTGGCTTGGGACGCCAGCTCTGAGCAGCAGGGCCCTGGTTTGGATCCCACATGAGGGCCAGTGACACTGCCCTCTACAGCTAAGATGGTGAACAACAGCTCGACCTGGAGCTGGGCCGCCGTGAGTCACCAGTGACTGTGTAGGCTGCA